TTGAAGCTGATACGATGACACATTTTTTGAGTGAATCCATTAAGATCACAGCAGTCGCGTGTCCCAGCCTTCAGGCCTGCACAAATATGACCTCATTTTCAAATTTGGCCCCTTTTCATATTTCCAAACCAGGCTTTACTGAAATCAGTCAGGAACCACTTGTATAGACATGGACTTGGAAATATTTTGGATATATGATGAGATCAATTAATTTTAACTTAATATAGGGCAATAATATAACTTGAAATTCATTCAGACAGTCACACACATGCAGGACAAAGCCAGCCTCTACCATAAATAAGCACCACTCTCTCAATTTATCATTTACACCCCAACTAATATGTTGTGGCAACACTGGATACAGGAAAGCCATGTTTTTTTTTATCCTTCCCATCGCTGCACAGCAGAAAAAAAGATAGACAGAAAAGGAGGAGGGAGAATCTGAGAGTTATTACTGTCAACAGCTACGATGTTTGCTGACAGTGCTGGGATGCATGGCAAGACACAGAGAGAGGGAGCGAGTCAGAGAGATATGTCAGGCAGTCTGAGAGACAATGGGGGGAAAACTTTCAATACTACTCAAAAATCAGGCCCCTCTTGTCTTTCTCAGGTCATTTGTCTGGGACTGCAGGCTTGTTTTTGAGCAAGTGGTATTTCAACAGCACCTAAAAAATCGTTCACAGTGGCAGACTGTCCAGCAAGGAGCAATTTTACTCAGGATACAAATATATCAGCTGACATTCTCTTCAACTCTGACTTCAGTCTGAGAACAACACAACAGAGTATGGAGAAGTGTTAACAATAAAACGTTGGCGTCCGTATTCTTACCACAAGGCATTGTTTGAAATTTTTCTATACTAGCACTGATATGATATCTGAGTTTTGGTACCGATCGAAAAAATTATACAAGTCTATGACGCCTTATTTTCAGGGAACATACATGTGTTCATCCTCATATTTTTTTCTACAACCTTTCATTTAGCTAAACAGACTTTTCAAAAATGTAATATTATGTAAACAAATGCAGCTGCGCAAAAACTTTGCCTGAACAAAATACAACCTAAAATTGGTAAAATTAGCATTTTCATCTGACTGAAATATCTGATTAAAAATCCAGTACACACTATCAAGCCCTAGCTCACATCCCAGCTACATCAGCTGATCTCAAACAGCCAGTCAAGTGATGGAGCAGCTGATTGATGACCTCCACCCCAGCTCCTCCTTTTCATGCTATTTCCGACTTATCAATGGCATTTCTGTTTGTCATTGATGCTGCTCTGTTCTGTTCCCGGGGGGTCTTTGCTGCTGCTCTCCCCGCCTTAGGCTTTCCATGTAGGCACATGGAAGGGCAGGGAGGTTTGCTCTCTCTGCCTCAGGCTTTCCTCGTTTGCGTGTGGAAGGGCAGGGAGGTTTGCTCTCTTTGCCTCAGGCTTTCCTCGTTTGCGTGTGGAAGGGCAGAGAGGTGTGCTCTCTCTGCCTTAGGTTTTCCACGTAGGCACATGGAGAAGGCTTTCTGCGTAAGCTAAGGAAAAGGCAGAGGTCCCAGAACAGAGCAAAATATAACACTGCCAATGGAAATAAAGTTTTATTTGACTAAAGTGTTCCTTACTGAACTAAGGTTTGATACCCAGTCTAACAGACATATTATGATAACACACGCAAACATACACATAAAATGAATTACAGCCCTGTTCATAGTTACCTCAGAAATAATAACAGGAAAGCATCGGTGCCAGTGTGCTAACTCAACACACGTGGCATTTTTTTCCATAGTTATTTGAGGCCCTGCAAACAAATTTTCTCAAAATGCCAAGACATGTTCTAAACATGTCGCTTACTTCATATATACGAAGTATTGATTTTATGTGTACATGTGTGTTTCAGTGTAAAAGAAAAAAAAACAGGCAACAGCCTGTGTCCCGGCCGATCAATGACATAATGGATTATTTGGACTTGAGGCTATTCACAGTAGAGTCCCCCTGTGAGTGCATCAGGGAGTAATTTATTCCTCTGTGACTGTGCCACTGTGGGTGAGGAATGGCTTGTGTGTACGACCATTCGTATATGTACACCTATACAGTTTGTGTGAGCACACTTTTAGGAATGTGTATGGCGCAGCAGGCAATGTTGGTAGTGCATTGATTCCTGCTGATACCTCGGGCTCTCCCATCGATCAGCGGAATGTCTCCAGCTCACTGCCGAGTCTGAGCCAAGCTCTTACTTCATATCCCCATAGCATCGGAGCATTATCTGAATTAGCTAGAGATGCAGGCTTAAGAAGATCTATCAATACTTCTGCAGCAGCCCTGTCACCACTGACTACAACAATTATATGAAGAGAGCTACTTCAAATGAGAGTAAGTCTCTTAACCTCTTCTTACTTTTTTCATTTTCCTCTCTCTCTTTCTCTCACTGGAAAAATCTCCACTTTTAACAAGCCATTCAGTGTCTTAAAAAGGCTTAATAAGTATGAATATCGAATCAAAAGTGAAAGCAAAAGATAATTACGCCACTTGTTGGCAAATTGCCTGTTTAAACTGTTTCCCAAAACAGGTGTCAACACCTATAACCAGATTATACACTCAGTGGTTCGAGAATGCAGATTTGCAATGGAAACAAGCCAAATTACGCTAATCCTGACCTGTTAAAATGAAAACTTTCTTCTTGCTGTCATTCAAGATCAGCTATGAATGACAGTGACAATCGTTGCAGCCACATTGGCAACATTATAATCAAATTGTTCATTCATGTTGCTCTCACTTAAACCATTGTCTCCTCCGTGAAATTCGCACTCTAACACCCCCCTACACACACAGAGGGGAACTTTAAAAAAGTAGTAACCATGGTGATACTGTACACTGCCCTTTGCGTCCACCTGACACATGCGCACACACACACACGACGTATATGCTTTAAGCGCAAACAAAGATGTATGTGCATGCACACACACCTGTCCTTGACTATGGCATCCCCGCTTCACCTCAAGTTGGAAGTGGGAGGAGAGCCACCAAAACACATTCACCCCCTGGGGGCTCGGGAGCTGGGTGACTCAGACATTAGCAAACTCTGCACAGCATGTTCATACATTCTGCTGGGAGATGACATTGGCTCACTGTTACTAAGGAGATGGTACTAAAACCTTCTGGAAATACAGTAACTACAGTATCTAAGAGACCCGAGCAGGGTAGGAAACTAGGAGCAGCAGTAACACCACATAAAGTTTGATATTTGAATAATGTCAGCATCGGGGCAATCAATGTCATCTACAAAACAGCCAAAATATGTAAATCAAACTAAAATTAGAACACTGACATTTGATTTATGCCCTAATTTTACAGCTCTTTTGTTTAACAAACTACGGATAGACTCATGCAACACATTTAAAGAATTTTTCACACTTTTATAACTGCCTCAACGTCCTGTTAATTTTACTGACAACACAAAGTCAAATTGTCTCCAAACATCATCACAATCCAACCAGCAGGGTTTGAGACATTATGCTTGAGGAAAAAAAACCCACAACAATGCACCGAAAGAAAGGAAACACTGTCAGAATGAGCACAGCCACAACGTCAACATGCAAAGACATTTTCGGTTTCATTGCAATTAACTGGAGTATCTGCCTGTCTGGGAAGGAACGTGTTTTTCTAGATCCATTGAAAAGTTTTACAAGAACAGTTGACTGACTGCAGGGAAGACACATTTGCATATGATCAGATATACACTGCGCACTGCACAGTCGTGCTGTGAAAGTTCACTAATCACACAGAGAACCCACCATGCATTGCAACCGATTTTATCACAGGGGTTTAACACTATAATGTGCAGCTGATCGTTTTCAACAGCTTGTTTTGTATTTATGTTTTCCCCCATAATAAGCATGCAATGACAGCAGATGCAGCATGACCGATTTCATCTGATTGAGATGACACATTTAATTGGATTCCCTTACAGTGGGGCTCCTCGGAAAACATGGCTGACCAACGAAGCTCACCGCCTGTAGCCTACTGTGGGTCACCAGTCAGGCAGAAACAAACCACATTCTCTTCATTTCTCACCCTGCTTGTGTGCATGGAGGAAAACCCTCCCTGACTCACACACAAAGACTTCTTTCAAACAGGGGTTACATACACACCAGCCATATCCCCTGCTTTCTCTGTCACTATCCACACAACATACCTGCAGTTAATGATTTATTTTAGCACCTTTTCACACGCCAAAGTGATGCCTCACTCTTGACATGTGACCAAGCAGCAACACAAAGACTGTCAGCTGTCAAATGGCGCAATAACACTGACACAGATATGGTAGGAAATGCCTAAATAATGAGTAATACGTCATTAGCAGGCGCGTGCACTGTACACACACAATGGCGATAGTCCAACTCAAACAGTTAACGTTACAGTGTTAATATAAAATAAATATTTTATATCTTATTATTATGTTCCTATTTCCTATTGTAACACTATATTAATCGTGTATATGGTCTTTAAGTGTTTGAAATTGCCATAAAACATTTTTTTATCGTAGTGTCACTGTAAACATGTAACTTTACCTGTTTATGTTAATGCTAAATTACAGTAACATACATAAAAGTTAGTTTGAGCGTATCTTACTGGGGTTTTAACGCTATAGTTTTAATATATTAGTCACGTATTACATATAATTTTGCTATAATAGTCATGTATATATGTTAACACTATGAAACAGCTCGTTTAAAGAGCGTTAAGTGGAGTTAAAGTGACCAACTGACATTAACGTTCACTAATTAAGCTAGCGCTGCTAACAGTGTGCACAGTAACTGACAGTTTTACGTTAACTCGCTATAAATGGCGTAAAAGTGACACATTTCACGTTATTCTTGTCGTTAAAAAAGACGCTAAACTGACACTGAGCACAAACTTGGACGGAGTTGGAGTACAGGTGACTTTCAGCTGCGTCCACAGCTCGGTGTTTTTCCGTGAGAGTGAAACCATGTTAAAGCAGACACATTCCCTTACCTGCAGGACACTGTGATTTCAACTTTGGTGGCAGGAATAGACGCGTTGAGCGGGTCGAAGTCGCCTATCGACGCCATGTTTAGGAAAGTGTTGGTCATCCTGTCAAAAAACAATGTTTTGCTTTTCCTGTTTTCCCCGTTTTCCGTGTGGTCCGGCCCCCTTTATACTGCGAGCAGCGTAGCAAGATACAGAGGAGCTGTGTGTTGTGCGCCTCCTCGGCGAGAAGTGGAGCAAAGGTGCCAGGGAGAGGAGGAGAGAGGCTGCGAGATGTGATGTCACTCCTTCTCTGTGTGTGTGTTTCTCTCTTTCTTTATGCCCCTCTGCCATCTCCTTCCCCCTCTTTCTGTCTGTCTATCTCTCACTCTTTCAGCTCAGTTCAGTTGACTTTGAGTTCAGCCCATTTAAAGCGCAGTGCTTCAGATTTACTGGCATGGATGTAATGACAATGATACAATCATAGAGAAAATAGGAGAAATCTGTCATAAAAAGTCTTTCCTGTGTGTGTGTGTGTGTGTGTGTGTGTGTGTGTGTGTGTGTGTGTACAGGCACACATTTCCCCTGCCCTCAATGCACTCATTGCACTCATTCACATCAGCTCAATCCAGTTTATTTCAGTTCAGTTCAATGTGGGTTGCTGGCATGAAACACCCCTCATTCTTGCTTTCTTGGCCACATTAGCTTTTTAGGGGGCCCGGGGCAAAATGCACAGTTGGGGCCCCCTGATTATGTCATCAGGCCTATTTCAGCATTACTTATTTATATCAGAAAAGCTGTGTTACAAATAGCAGGTGTAGAGTTAGAAAGATGTTGTTACCAGGCAGGAAAAGTGTGGCAGTTTTTTATAGGCTGATGCAGAAGTTAGTGTTGTCCTAGTCCTTGTCTCAAAGCCAGTGGGATTTTCCCATTTCCCATTTGGCGTGATGACACATGAAAGCTTCAAATTCCCAAGTGGGGTATTTACATATTACGTATTTTATGTTGTAGAACAAAACATGAAACCCTCTGAAGCTTGTGTAAACCACAGACTTTATTTCAGACATCTAACCCAAAACCTATTCAAAAAACCCATTGACTTCAAGATGAGGGAACAGGGAGTGCTAAAATGCTAACTATTTTCTGGGTTTTAGGACTCATTCCTGGGGCAAATGGTAAATGGTTAACCTAAAAGTCAGTATATTCCACTTCTGGTGCTTTGATTTTGACAATTTTTGTGTTGATCTGTCTTTTGTAAGCCTCTCAACTCAACAAAGTGTAATACTAAATTACTGGTGTGCATCTTTAATGTTGTGTTCACACCAAACACAATGCAAATTTCCTTGCCCAAGTTTAAACACTAGAATATTTTGTGTTAACTCGCTTTATAAGCGTGAATAACTCCCGTCATACACACGTGAAATCGCTGAATCAATGAGTGAACTTCCACCAGTACATCCTCTGCGTCATACATCCACAGAGGATCTCAATGCTGATTGGCAATCACGACGCAAATTGGTCACTGACATTCAGATTTTTTAACTTTTATCGAATAAGTGTATGACACAAAATCTTCATTGGCACCACCACTTAATTTATGTAATTTGCATCATCGCACCACATGGCAGGAGTTCAAGTCTAATGGTGGCTTTACATGACTTTACATGTAATTCACTCACGCGAGTTGTTTTATTCGTGTCCGGTGTGACCACAATGTCAGGCTCGATGCCCATCGGCACTCCCAGACACACCACCTCCCAAAACTTCATGCCACTGTCCTATTTCCAGTCTCCTTGCCCCAAGAATTAAATGCCCTTTTCCCCCACTCGCTCTCTGCTTGTACATACAAGCTCCCGTAGCAGCTCTTTTTCTCTGCTCCTATGGCAGCTCGACTCCTCTACTCACCATTGATGTATAAAGAGAACTCCTCAGTTGTTGCTGTGTCCTATGTGTGACAAAGAATAGATGAGAAGAGACTTGCTGCTGAGATCAAGAAATATCCCGAGCTACACGACCCACAATCCTGTCATGATAAAGACAGTGGCCAAAAAGATATTGCCTGGCGCGTCACAACTCGATCGGCAGTTTAGGTGAGAAACGAAGTTTAAATAGGGGCTGTCCACACGTGATTTTTGGCTAATGCAGAGGTGGAGGAAGTACAGATTTTTTAGTAAAAGTAGTAATAACTTTGTGTGGTCATCTATTGACAAGCTGCAGTGCAACATGTCCAAGACAAGCTGCAACCACTTGGGCTAAAAAATGAAGCCAATATGGAAGTGCCAAAAACTGCAGTTCCTTGAATGGCCACTTGAGGCTGGCTCCACCCATGTTAAAATGCCCAACTTCAGAGCAAAAATAAATGTGTTTTCAGTTTGGTACAAAAACAGCTTTGGTTCCGTGGCTATTTCACCCATACAGTATATGTCAACTTTACTGGAAGTCAATTTTACCTATCTGTTGAATTTTCATTAAGGCTTAAAGATATACTTTGAAGCGCTCAATCGCGTAAAAGTATGCATAATCAAGGGCGGGGCCGTTTAAGTGCCAGGCACCACTACAGCCTATAAGTCAGATTCACCCTTCACTCCTCCACAGCTCCACACTTTGGTCCAAATATGGACACTTTGGCTCCAAAAAAGCTAGATGGCGATGGCCAAAATGCTGAACATGATGTTTCAAAATATGAGTGCACAAACCAATGGGTGTCAAGGTCCCTCAACAAATAACCAAAAACGAGAGTAGTCATACCAGCTGATAGTAATCCAGTCTTTCTGTGTGTCTGGACAGTAGAGTACACCTAGTGCAGCACATTCAGTCCCTCTGCCGCACACTTTTTAAGATTATTACTATTCATAATTATTATTAGTGCTTGTATAGAAACACTAATAAGTCTCTTCTCTTTGGCTCTTCATGCTATGAGGATAAGCATCTGATTTAATTAACTGGAAGGGAGACCCTCCGCTGGCGGAGAATAGAATGACAGCATGATGAATGGAAAAGGATAAGGAGAGTCACATTATGAGGACACTGTGTGTTTGAGCCTGTGTGTTTCCACGAGAGACTTAACAGTATGGTTCGCTCTAGGTGTGTGTGTTTGTACAGAGTTTGTCAGAAACAGAACACACTCCTCCTGATTTCACTGTATGTGTCCTGTTCTAATGAGTACAGACTTTTATTTTTTATGTTCTAAAAATAAAAATGGAGAGAGGTTTCTTGTTAGAATGTTGGCTCTTTAAAAATAAGTTGTAGCATCGAACGTACAGCTGTCATCTTACATCACAGGTGCAAATACATATGTCACACCACCACATCACAAGCATCCCAAACTGTTACTAGATTTGCTTATATTGCTACAAAAGTGTGTGTGTGTGTAAGCATTTCGTTTAGATCATAGAGTCACAGGATCTTATAATGACGCACCTCAGTATTACTCAGTGTGTTTACTGGCTAGCCACATCTCTAAATATAACTGTCTTACACACACAAGCACACACAGACACACACTCTAGGCTGGATGTGTGGCACAAAAACAACTGGGGCACCTCTGGGCCAACACCATGCCACCGCCCCGTGTGTATATGGGTGGGTGGGGTGGATGGACATGCACTGAAATACACACACACACACACACACAGCTTCCATTGTGTGAGCAAACATCACATCATCGTCTCATGACTGTAGCACCACCAACCAGGAAATGTCAGATTTAAAGAGGTTAATAATCCATATTTTATGATGTTCCCTTTTAAACAGAAACAAATGTTTACACATTAATTAAAGCGTCTCCTTTAATTTAAGCCATTAACCATGGTTTTGCAATGTTTAAATGATAAATTATTCAGCATTAAATAGAAGTATATAAAACCAAGTCCCTGCTGTGAGAATGTTTATAACCCATTAATCATAATTCAGCCATTGAATCCATGAACATGCATAAAACATGAAGCCAATTGTTACCAATAAATTGCTGCATAATTATTACACACAACCACACTTCCTATTATGGTCAGTTTTTCTTATGCATCTATATAAAAACACCCACCTGTAAACAGTACATTCACCAGTAATGTTTCTTCATAATGTATTTATGTTGTTGGAACCATGTGTTTTTCTTTCTCTCTCATTTATAATTTACATTTTACTTGATATTATTAAAATTAATTAATTAATTTTTATGCATAAGTTTGACCTCGACTTATATTTACAATGTGATGAATATTTATGAATGTCATTCATCTCAATTGAGATAGTCGGATACAGCATTACTTCTCTATATCTAACACTCTCGTAAACAAACAAATAATATATCCAGGATTCAGTGTAGGCACATAATTACATGATGTGTCTCAAAACTGAGAAAAAAGCACTGTCACCTCACAGCAAGAGGGTTCCTGGTTTGATCCCAGGAGGGAGCCCTTCTGTGAGTTTGCATGTCCTCCCCATGTCAGTGTGGATTTTCTCTGGGTACTCCAGCTTCCTCCCACAGTTCAAAGACATGCAGGTTGGGGATAGGTTAATTGGTGACTCTAAATTGTCCGTTGGTGTGAATGTGAGTATGAATGGTTGTCTGTCTCTATGTGTCAGCCCTGTGATAGTCTGGGCACCTGTCCAGGGTGTACCCTGCCTCTCGCCCAATGTCAGCTGGGATAGGCTCCAGCCCCCCCGTAACCCTCAAGAGGATAGGTGGTTACAAAAATGGATGGATGGATGAGGTTGATTGGTTTGTCATTTTTTTTTGCATTGTTTGTTTTTTGTATTGTTCTGATAATAGCGTGAATCTTTACAAAATTTAATGGCATGCAAGGGTCAAAATATTCCAGTCTGGACCCAAGTGTGGAACAATTGCCATCCCTTGATCTGCACCGCTAGCATGGCAAAAAAACAAATCTAATTTTAGTTACAAATGTTGTGTAGGTACAAATTTATTTTACATGATCTGCCCTTCTATGCCTAAAGACCAAAACACACCGCCCCACACTGGTGTTGGCTAGATGCACGTTGGCGCTTGTACGTACAAGCTCCCGTGGCAGCTCTTTTTCTCTGCTCCTATGGAAGTTCGACTCCTCTCCTCACCACTGATGTATAAAGAGAACTCTGTTGCTGTGTCTCGTGTGTGACAAAGAATGGATGAGTAGAGACTTGTTGTTGAGGTCAAGAAATATTATGAGCTCAACAACCCACAGTCAATTTTGCCTGGTTGTCTGTTGATGAACTGCAGCGCAATGCATGCACATGTGCATGT